AAGGCTTTGTGACAGAACACTTTAAAGGACTAGTCTCTTCATCTGGCCTAGGGCCCACAGGTGAGAACTGAAAGAAGGAACATACCTCCGAGCAGATTGGAGGGGAGAAAGGAGAATGCAGACACGTGGGGAAAGCCGAGCAAGCAGGCGGTCAGGCTAGGTGCTCTTCTCTAGAACTTGCACTGAAGCTTCCAGGTGCACTGAAGCTGTGTGGAGATGTTGAGCCAGCCAAGTGGAGCCTGGACTCCTCTAACAAGCACAGACAGCTATTTGTCTCCTCCTGAGAGAGTTGCTGACAGAGCAAGTCTGGGAAACTTGTAGGTTCTGACCTTGAATCCATCTTTTTTATTCCCCAACAAAGGTGTCCGACTATGAGATCAATGGATAATAGCTATGAAGTTTTGGGTGACTACTTACACGGAGAAAAATGTGTTAAGGTTGGAAACTAAAACACCACAGCTTTCTAAAGCATGCGCGTGCGTGTGTGTTTTACACAGATACATAAATGGCAGGTTTGTGTGTTAAGGGCAAAAAATACACTTTCTACAAAGTATTTTAGCGTGGCCTGCCTTCTGTAGATTCCCAGTCCATATTGACCAGCTGTGGGGATTGACTGATAGATTACCCTCTACCTTCATACTCTAAGCAGTCATGGCCAATCCCCAAAACACCCCCACAGGGGTGGGATAAGAAGCAGAAGGCTAAAAAATGAATTTACTGAGAGCTCTACACGGGGTACGCCTATGGTGTTTAATATGGCACCCCTTGGGCTCACGGCCTTCCTGGAGGCAGGGCTTAGAGGTCATCTGAGTGCCCCATTCATCACTCTTTGGTCAGTGGCCTTCAAGCACGTGGTGCTCTGTGCCTTACCCAGAGGGGATCCTGTAGCAGAGAGACTGTGGTGATCTCCACTCTTTACAAGGTGGAGAGGGAGAGTAAATCAAGAGTGCACCATGAAAAACAGGTGGTTTCAGAGCCTGGTAAAACCTGACGGAAGCTCCATTAGCAGGCACTAACCCCACAACGGAGTCGTTGGCCCGGTCCGCTAGGTGGCGCTGCGTGTTATAGTTTAGAAAGTCCCTCAAGTCAGCAAAACACACACATATTAGGTAGTTTTTCGAAAAGTTCCTTAAATTTCTCATATATAAAAATGGAAGTAAAGCTGACATTCTTTGGTGACATGCTGTATGAGCTATTTAATCTAAAAATTCATCAGAATTATTGTACCATCGTTCAGGTCCTAGGAAATGCATAGCCATTCGTTCATGCTTTGTACTGTGTATGCAGCCGTTCACTTCATCCTAACGCACTGTGATCCATTTCTCCTTCTGTTCTCCAAGACAACTCTTCCATCAACTCTATCTCACTGCCGCTTCAGTTGAAGCATTTTTATTTTACTTTGATTTTTTTCAAAGTGTAAAGAAACCTGCCACAATTATTTTATGGAAGAGAAAGAGGCAGAGAGCAGAAGAGATTTTCAAAGTTTCCCGAGTTAATAATGGGGCTCAAACCTGACATCAGGATTCCTGAGCTCTCACTCCTCAGATAGTTTAAGGATCATTTTTGGCTTGCAAGCAACTCCTTATTTCTATATTGGCTAATATTTTTTATAGCTATTGGTCCCCTGTCCTTTCCCTAACCCATATCTTTAAAAAGGTAAGAATTTTTCATTACAGAATTTTTATTTTTTTTTTAAATTTTTTTTTTTAAAGATTTTATTTGACAGAGAGAGATCACAAGTAGACAGAGAGGCAGGCAGAGAGAGAGGGAGGGAAGCAGGCTCCCTGCTGAGCAGAGAGCCCTATGCGGGACTCGATCCCAGGACCCTGAGATCATGACCTGAGCCGAAGGCAGCGGCCCAACCCACTGAGCCACCCAGGTGCCCTCATTACAGAATTTTTAATTAGCACCTAGAGTACAAATAATAAATATTTTGTCATAACTTCTTGTCTTAAACCTTTAAGTATCTGGCTGTTGGTATGTAGGAACAAGTTTCCAGATGTGGGATTCATCCTCACAGGAGCACAAGAACTCAGGGATGGAAAGAGTTTTTGTAGCTCATAGGATTCGATCTTTAATCTCTATTTCCATCCCAATACTTGGGAAATATTCTATTCCTCAGAGGCTGAAATCACAGTTTTTATTATATTTACCAAACATGTTCTAAGCATTTTCCTAAATGCTTTGTAAATATTAAATAATCTTCATAAGCAACCATATGAAGTCGGTGCTCTTAATATCCCCATTTCACGGATCGGGAAGGGGTGATTTGCTTGAGGTCATTCAGCTCAGGGTTAAACAGGAGTCAGGGTTTAAAGTCAGGTGGTTTGGCTCCAGCCTAAGCTTCTATGTACTTTTATTATTATTATTTAGTATTTTACTGTGTTGCTCCATTAAAAAAAGAAAGAAAAACAAGGGACCAAGGTCAAGCAATATAAATCCAGTTGATAGAAATAGCAAAAAGCCGCAGCTGAGTCAAACGGAAAACCCAGAATCGGGATTGGGCAAGAGTCCGAGACAAAGCAGTTGAAAGCCACATGGGACCTCAGAGACACTGGCACTCATCCACCGTGTGTTTTTGGTGGGTCTTTGCCTGGTAGACTTTGGCTCCTCCCTAGTTCAGAGACAGAGTGGGGCGGCCCAGAGGCTGTTTTCCAGGACATACCCAGCTGTCTCTCTCTTAAGCGCTGTCCACCTGGAATGTTTGATACTTGGGTTGGTTTTCAGAGGTGCCAGTGGGGGAAACCAAAGCCACAAACCAAGAATGTATTTGTTTCTTGGTCTCTGTTTCTAACAGATCATTATTGGCAGTCGCTGTTTACTCCAGGAAAAAAAGCTTCCAGCCCCCCACCACACCCCAGCACACATCTTCTTGTCTCAGGTTCCTGGGACCTAAGAAAGGACAGTAGGGATCAAAATCAGGGCCCAACACCACGAACAGAATGAGAAAGTTACTTTTTCCTGGCTTCCATCACCATGCTGGGTATTGTAAAGAATGTATCAGGCATTACCCTCAGAGAACTCGGGGAAGTCAGAGAGGCAGCATTTCCCTGGACCTCAGAGTTACATAGCCATTCCCTCCATGTTTCCTTTTAATCTTTGGGGATCTCTTTGGGTTTTCAGTCTTCCAAATGATGTTTCCCCATGTTTACACTGAGGAACAGGTAATAACTTCCTATTGTTGTAGTAACGAAGTATGACTGAATTAGTGGTTTGGAACGACACGGATTTCTTATCTTACAGTTTGGGAGGTCAGAAATCAGCAGTAGGTTTCACAAGGCTCATATAAAGGTTCTGGAGGCTCTAGGGGAGAATCCCATTTCCTTTCTTTTTCTGGTTTCTAGAGGCTGTCTTTGTGGATTGTTGGCTGAGTTAGTGTACCCTTCCTCTGTCTTCAGAGCCCCATCTTCTAATTTGACCACTGACACTCTTGCCTCCCTCTTTGATTTGTAAGGAGCCTTGTGATTACACTGGGCCCACACTGACCACCCAGGATAGTCTCCCCATCTCATGGTACTTAATCACATCTGCAGTTAACATATTCATGGGTCCTGGGTTTAGGATGTAGACATCTTTGGGGGAGAGGGTGTTATTCTGCCCACCATAGGATCTATGGCCCCACCCTCCGAGTCTAAGTCTTGCTTCCTTCTGCCCTCCAGTTTCCATCTTCTCCCCACCTCATGGCTTTATCCCCAAGAGCACTCTCCAGTCCCTATGACATGCTGAGTCTCCTTCGCCCCAACTTCAGCCTTGCTGAAAGCCTCAGAGTACCAAGGGTTCCCTCTCTTCATTACTTCTCTCCTCTCCGCCCCTCCCACCGCAACTGCACACCACCCCAGCCTCCCAATGGCTCTCTAAAGGAGAAATGCAAAGAGTTATTGCTTTTTAATTACAAGTGCTATTGTAACATCTATAAGGAAGAGCACTTTAAGCTTAATTGAGACCAAATGTGAAGTTAAATTAAATGAATAACTAATTAACGTAATGCTCCTGCATTAGCCCCAAGTGAGTGCTGAGGCCCAGAGAGAAGGCAGGTAGCAGGCTTCTGGGGAACAGTTAGCGCCCAGAGTGGAGGTGGGGCAGGGAACCCGGGGCCTGGGAGACCAGTGCACAGGGGCACAGACCAGGGCCTGGGTTCCTCAACCTTTGCGGTCTCCCCCTAACTCCCACCCACAGCCCCCATCCTCATCGCTGAGGCCAGGGGCTGAGCTCCACGGGCCTTCTGCTCATTGCCAGCACCACGCTGATCCCTTGGCTGTCCAGGCATGAGCGGGCACATTCTGCCGCTCTCCAGGTCCCCCTGCTGCGCTCTGAGCGGTGTGCTCAGTGTTCCTGTCCACGTCTTCCCTCTTCCAGGTCCCCTCCCTACCTTATCAAACTAGCCACCTGTCCAAGTCCCACTCGTTCTTCTTCTGATGCCTTTCACATCCCTTCCTCCGCAGATCACCCCTCTGGCCCTGTCCGTTCAGGCTGGACTGGGGGATGGTGAAGCCTGTGCTTAACACTGACTCAGTCGGCTCCCTTCATGCCCGTCGTCTGAGGCAGGTCATGTCAGAACTGCCTTCTAGGTGAGGACACAGGCTTCACGGGAGTCAGTGGGGAGGCGAGGGCAGAGGAAGCCTCCCACCCCAGGAGGAAGTCTCCCAGCCTTCCTACCCTGCCCCGATGCAACGGAGAGAAGGCTGACAGTTGGTGAAGAGAGCACCCTCTGCTCTCCACCTGGAAGCAGGAAGAGTGTGGGGCCCACGCTGGGCTCTGCCGGCGGAGGATGGCACCATCTAGTGGCTTTCCTCAGCGAGCCGCTCAGATGCCTCTGTTCGGAAAGAAGGCTCCAAGAAAGCTGGAGTAAGGCCATGACCTGCAGCACCGCCCCAGGGGGCACCCGACGACCCAGAGATCGTGGACCATCACCTGTTTCAAACCCGAGTGAGTGTCAGTTCGTCACCAGGGCGGTGTGTACAAGCTGCGTCACTGTTGCCCCGCCCCCAGCGTCCCCGTTAATGCCACAGCTGCACCTTGTGTGGGGCTCTAGCTCCTGCTGAGCCCCACAGGCCCCCGCCCCCCACCGTGTGGTCACGAGCATGTCCTTAGGGAGGCCCGCTTGTGGCCAGCCCCAGCCTGGGAACGTGACAGCCCGCGCGGCCGTGCCAGGCCCTGACAAGGATGAGTACAGGCCCGGCTGGCAAAAAGGATCTGTATTGTGCTGATGGGTGGCTTCGGAGGTCAGGGAGCAATGCCAAGGGCTAGCCTGGCAGGCAGCACTCTGGGGTGGGGTGGGCAGGAGAAGTAAGGCAGGAACACGGGGGAAGGGGAGGCAGGCCGCAGAGAGCTCAGGCCACTGCCCTTGGGACAGTGGCTGAATGAGCCAGGCAGCTTCCTTCTTCCTAGTCTCGTCACCCTGGGGCCTGTGCTCGGGCGGAAGTCCGTCTTCGTGCCCACCATCTACTCTGTTCCCAGAGCAGGGCTCATGTGCGGTGAGCACTCGGTGGCCACTGGCCCCTGTGGCTTTAGTCCGGCCTGCCCCCTCCCTGCGCTGTTCTGACATGTGCTCCTCCCCTGGGGACGTGGAGGGCTGGGACGAGACTGGGGCGGGGGAAGCCCAGCCCTGGGCTCAAGAGTGGCACCTCCTTTGCCTCTCCCTGGTCCTGGTCCCACAGAATACAGTAATAACACTTTAATCGACTCGGGTCAGGAGTCGGGATCAAATGCAGGGTAGAAGAGGTTCTGACATGGGAAATACACGAGAAAGCTGGCTTATGGACAAAGGAAGGAAGAGAGGCTTGGTGGCTCTCAAATAGGGTCAGAAATCCACGGACAGGTATAGGCTGAGCACCGAGGCTCGCTTTCCACACGGGAAGGAGAGACACACCTTTGCCAGGCCTTGGCCCATGTCCAGCCCCTGCCTCGGAATCTGAACAAGCAAGAGTCTGAGCATATTCTTCCCTTACCAAGCTGGAGACACCACTCAGCTCTGATCCCCAACCCTTCTGCTTTGCAGCTTCTGGAGCTCAGGGCTGTGAGTCCTCCTGCTGGCAGGCCCCTTCCCGAGGAGAACCTCCCAGCCCCTCAGAGGCCCTGTCAGCCCGTCTGTGGTGGGTTCCATTGTCTTGCCCCCATGAGGGGGTCGGGGGAGAGCACTTTGGGAATCAGCTGGGGCCCTCCGTGCTTCTCTGCGAATCAGGGCTTCATATCTCTTTATACCTACAGGAGGGGTGAGAGGCAAGGGAAGAGAAAGTAAGACACAGACAGGTTTATAAGCTCCTGCCCCAGTGAGGGGTACAGGGAAGGCAGGTTTGTAGGGTCCCTTAATAATTGCCTCTCATCCCTGTTCTGTCATTAGGGCTCCCTTCCTCCCCTTCAGTGGCAAATTAGCAAGTCAGCAGGATAATGAAAGCTTTGCCATGTTGGTGCCACACCTGACAGTTTGACAAATGGGATCCCAGATCCCATCCCGTCTCAGCCTCTGATCGAGTGGTTGTGGCTTAGGTTTGAGCACCCCCAGTTACACACAGAAGGATGTGGGGGCACAGAGGCCATGCCCACGGTCTTATCAATGCAAGTGAGTTGAGAAGTCGGGACCGTCCAGGGATTTCTGGTTCTAGGCCCAGTGGTCCCCTTGCCCTAGCAAGTTCCTCCATTCCCCCTGCTCCAGCCTTCCTCAGAGCCCGCCCAGCTCCGCGTGGCGAGAGTACAGAGGAAAGCAAGCCCCACACACCTGGGTTCAAACTGAGGCTCAGCTGAAGGCCTCAGTCACATTCCCTGTCCTGAGCCTCTGTTCTCTCTACTCTAGATGACAGAACCGATGTCTCACAGTGCCTGACAGGTAAGCAGCTGCGTCTGAAGGCAGACTCAACTCCAGGCAGGGAGCAGATGCTGACTAAATATTCCTCTCCCCGCTTCCTGCTACTTTTCTTAACCTCCCAGTCTCCCCTCAGGCCAGGCCCAAGAAGGCAGGCGAGGGGAGGGGACAAGTCGCCCTGCTCCCTCCTCCAGGGCAGGTGGGATAGATACTCTGCTATGCCTCCTGCTCTCAGGTTTTCTACCCTTGAACGTGGAAGATGCCATCCTTCAGGAGAAGAGTTTCCCCGGCTACTGTGCTGGTCACCATTGACCCCCGGGGGTTGTTGGCACACGTTTACCATCCAGGACTAGATCCAACTCTGGCCGGCTCCTCATTAACCAGGACCTCCTGCTCAGAAGCTGAGCCAGAAAGTCCGGAGGGAACATTTCCCTCAGCACCAGCACACGGCCCAGCCTTTTGCTGGCTCTGCCCCGGCCACTGCCCTGTCCATGCGGCCTCCACACCCACCACCACAGGGCAATGGACAGAGAGCACACCAGGCCAGCCACCGACGCTTGATCGGAATTTTATCCCAGAGACTGTGATTGGTTTTGCTTTTTTCTGTACACCCCAGGCCGAGGGGCCAGATGATCCTGGATTCTGAATTCTAAGAGGCATGTAGGGCTCAGAGTCTTTGTTCAGAGCGAAAACAATTTGCCTGGATCTCACCTCTGTCCTAGGAGTACAGCAAAAAGCCCTACCACTCGCCCGGAGGAGAAGAGTCTGCCAGCCCCTGGGGCAGCTCGGGCTGCTCAGGAAACACTTCCAAGCACCATGCTCTGCTCGGGTGGAGAGTCTCCAGAGCTGGCCCCCGAGAAACAAGAGAAAGTTGGGAAAAAAATCACACTGGAAGAGAAAGCATTTGCATGCAGGCCCCACTCGAAGGGCACGTCAGCCACCGACTTGAAGACAATACTCACAAAAGTCATGGGACTTGAGGAAAATACTACCGCGGGTGGGTTAGGGCCAGACTAGAGCTATGGAGACACATGGGGACAACAGAGGACACATTAGCGTGGTGGAGGGACGGGGCGTGGAGCACCTCCAGGGTCCGGCCCCAGTCCGGAAATCAGGTGGGCTCAGGCTGGGTGCGGAGAAGTGAACACCGGTTTTCACTCCCGCAAGTAGTGGGGTTGGGGAGGTGGGGCTGCAGCTGTCTGGGGACTCACCCTCTGTCTCTGCTCAAAGATGACTTCCAGGCAAGGATTTCTTTGTACACCAACCGGCAGAGGAGCTGTGGGGGGTCGGAGGCACAGAGGGAGGGGGAGGGCGACATTAGCCTTGACCACATGGTTAGTCCCCAGTGCTAGGTGACTGGGGTGGGGGGAGCTGGCAGGAAGGAAGGTGGTGGCACACAGTTTCATGTGGTGGGGGTCACCCATGGAAGGAAAGGGGTTCTGAGTGTCGGGCAGCTGCTCTCAGAGCCCCTCATGGTCAACGCTTTGGAACTCCAGGATTCCAGCCTGGCAGGACAGAAGAGTCAACTCCACCCATACCCATCTGTGTGCCCCCAAGATCTCGTACCAAGCAGGCCAGAACGTCGGCAGAGATGAGCATATAGAAGACGTTGTTCCAGCCTGTGGGGGAAATCAGTCCAGCCAGCAGAGGCCCCAGAGCCGCACCTGCACAGAACACAACATCAGATAGGGGCACCCAACAACGGGCCCTAAGCAGCCCGCCCACCCGAGAGTGGCATTCCGAGAAGTGTGCTCAACACGAGGCTCAGGGCTCAGCTGCCAAGGGCCAAAAACTAGAGTCACAGACCTATGGACCCAGTGCCGTCGATGATGGCTGTGACGGTGGAGAGTGCCTTTGCATTGCCCTTCAGGCTCTCGTGAGTTCCCTGGGGAGAGAGAACAGCATGGAGAGGCCAACCAGAGAGGCAGCACCAGGACCAGGATGGGGCTAACCTGGGGCAAGGCAGCAACTGGGGCTTGGAGTTTGGTGGGGGGGGGCAGTGATGGCAGACTCTGGAGGACTTTAAGGCTCTCCTACACCAGGATCTCTGTGCACCAGGGAGGGGGTGGGAATGTGGGATATTGGACCTAGAGATGTGCCCAGGCCCTGACCAAGCTCCCAGAGTCCTCCCCGGCCCCAGTTTCTTACCAGGTCAGCAGAAACGGCGGTGGTGATGAGTGCGTAAGGACCATTGACCAGGGCCCCACAAATGATCAGCATTACTGAGGCAGTGACGGAGACAGCTCGTTAGGGATGAGAGGCCTCCTCCCGCCCCAGCCCCAAAGCAGGTGAAACCCCCAGGTGTCAGGCCAAGAGCCTCCACTTCCCTGTGCCTCCCACCAATGCCCCCAAGTGGCTTCCTGGGGACCCCAAGGCAATGCTCTTCCTCTGCGCTGCTCGACTTGCAGCCACCCCCTCACCTATAGAGTTGGTAATCCCGTTCTGACCAATGTTGTTATACAGGAACATCTGAGAGAGGAAAAGGGAGAGGCAGGGTCACACCCAGGCCTCCCCATGGGCTGTGTGGGTTAGACTGGGAGTCTGGCACACCCTCTCCTCCCAGGGAACCCCAGAAGTCCACCTTACTCCAGAACTCTTGGTCTTTAATGGTTCCTGGGATGGAGGGTCTAAGATGTAGAAATCTGTTGTTTCCTGTTTCTCAAAAAGGCTTCTCTCACACCCAACCTGAATTTCCTATTCTTTCCTGAGTTAGGAAGTTCAGCTGCTGGCCTCCCTCTTCTCCACCAAGGCCAAATCCTTGCTAACCCCTTTCCAGAATCCTCAGTCTGAATCTTGGAGACTGTGCCGCCCCCAGCTTCTCCTCCCCTGGCGTGCACATGGACGTGCATGCACGCAGAGAGATAGGCGTGGGCATCCACGCCCAGGTACGCACACGTTGCAACAGCCCGCACAGGTACACGTGAGCACGTGCGCTCTGCTCTTGAGGTTATACGCACCATGGGGGCAGCCAAGATCAGCATGACACAGCAGGTGGTGGCCCTGCCGTTGGTGTGGTCGGAGATGAGCCCCGCCATGATGCCGCCTAGAATACAGACCAACTCACACCCAGCTGCTCCCAGTGGGAGCATAGCCGCCCACTAATGCGGCACCCCAAGTCTTGCCCCATTGCTTTGTCCCATCGCTCCACCCAATGCTAGCCTGGGCATGGGCATCCAGAACCAGTAGAACTTCTCCCTCTGAAGCCCTCCCCGCACCCACTGCTTTTATGGGAAGATCAAACACGAGGGTCAACTTTCTGAGGTCTCCCCAGCTGGGTAGGAGCCCTTTTTTCTCTGATGCCACCTGCCCAATTCACATCACATTGGACCTGTCCCTTCCTTCTGCACCCCCACAAGACAAAAGGGGAATAGGGGAATACTGCCCAGGGCAGAATAGGGCAGGGCCTCACCCATGATGCCACCAACATCGAAGAGGGTCGACAGGTCCCCAGCCTGTTTGGCGCTAAAGTGAGCTGTGGAAAACACAAATATAGTCAGAGCGGGGCTCGGAGCAGGCGACATGGAGTGCCACGGCCAGAAAAAGCCCTACAGAACACTTGACCCAGTCCCATTGCCTCCGGTTTCAGAGGAAGGAGTGAGGACCCATGGGAAGTCGTTGGCCAGAGTCACAAGTAAATTTGCAGCAGTCTCCCCCTACACCCCATCCTGTACTTTTTCTCCCCTTGCAGGCTGGCTCTGACCTCTCAGAAAAGCCTTCCCCTGAAAGCACTGGGGTCTGGCCCAGGAGAACCCTGTCAGACTAGGCCACCTTGGCCCGGGGGGAGGAGGGGACACTGCTGGTCTCACCAGCCCTAGTTGTGCTCTGCTCCTGAGCTCCTGGCCAGCCTCCACCAGGAGGCTCCATATCCATGGGAGGTCTCTGCTAATACACAGAGCCAGGAAGGAGACTCAGAGGCAAATGGGGACCTCAGGTCCCAAGTCTTGTCCTTGGATTAGAAAGAGCAAGATCCAGAAGCTGGAATTGTAGCCTAAGCCTCAAGGTTGACTCCTACTCTGAAGCTGGCACCAAGGCCACAAAACCAAGAGCTGTCCTGGCGTGCTGCTCCCTCTTATCTTTGAGAGAGGCCCGATGACGGGCTGTTGGTCAAGTCAGGGGCTGGGATTTGGCCTTGCATAAGCCCCAGGGCATCCTATTCAGAGCAAGTACAGCGCTTGCAAAGCAGCCTTTGGGGTCCTCCCACAGGGCTTGGAGGGAGCAGAGCAGCTGAGGGGCAGAGGGCCCAGCCCTGGCAGAGCTCTGAGGGTAGGGGCGGGCTAGAGCGGGCCCCGAAGGAGGGCAGTGCCGCTGACCCAGGCACCAGATGTCAGTCCTGGGAGGTTCCCGGCAGTCCTTGGGGAGAGGAGAGCGGTGCTCACTTCAGGCTTCAGGCAGTGGGGTAGCTCACCGGGCCCTCTTCCTGTATGTGTGTGTGTGTGGGGGGGTGGCATTCAAAGGCAGACCTGTCCCCGAACCATCCAGCCCCCCTCATCTGTGAGCCAAGCCAGCTGGATGGAGGTGGGTTCTCCTACACACAAGGGCTGGAGAGGAAGTCAGGAAGGATGACAGAGCACATCTCTGAGTTCCAAACCCCCAACTTTGGTCCAAGGGAAGAAAGGTGTCTGGAATCAGGGTCTCTGAGGTAACGTATGAGGTCTAACTTCCAATGGAAAAATAAATTTCAAAAGTCTCCCTTTGCCCTAGGAGAGGGTGCACGGACATCCCAATGGTGTTCTGGAATCCCATGCATCATGTGCCTCCTCAGAGAGCCCTCCCGCCCCTCTGCCCCTTGTCCTCACCCACGTTGAAGATGTAGAGAGGCAGCCAGTAGAGGAAGGTGTAGCTGACCAGCTTGGCAAAAAGCAGACACAAGGAGAACTCCACCACACCCTGCGGAGCATGACAGAGGGTGTTGGAAAGGCATGCCAGACGCCCCGGGCCAGGAGTAGCCCCAGAAGGAACTCAGCAGCCGCCCCCCTCCCCCTGAACTACTGCACAAAGCACATCTCCAGTCTTGTTCAAAGGCTGTGTGAAGACCACCCTCCCATGTTACCCTCCCCGAGCTGGCTCCTCACCCTCACACCTCACACCAAGCCCTAGAGCCCCCCGAGCCCCACCATCTCCCGACAGCCAGTGGGGACATCCAGAGAGCCCCGTGCTGCCCTCCAGGCCATGGACTTCTCACCGGGATGCGGAGCGCCCCCAGGAAGCTGATGGCCGCAGGCTGCGCCCTTGGCTCCTTGGAGCACCTGGCCGCGCTCTCCAGGCTGCTCTCCTTGTTGGTGCAGGGACCATTCCCCAGGTCCTCAGGGCTGTCCGGGTTCTCTTCCAGCCCATTCTGAACAGAGAGGAGCCCCGGCTGGGAGCACAGCCAAAGGCCACCTCCCGCCGGCTGGGGGGACAACCCAAGCAGCAGGCAGAGGCTCCCAAGCTGGAGGAGGTCCGCGCCCCCCTCAGCGACTGAACGAATGTCCCACCAGGCCCCATCAGGCTGTCATGGAGCCACCCTGAGGTCCTGACACTGAGCCTGTGAGCTAACTGTGGGCGCACATGCCCCTACCACCCCCCAGTCCTCTCTGGGACCTGCCCCCGTGGATGGAGTCACAGGCGGGGAGGCTCACACTAGTGTGGTGCTGGGGAGCCGCACAGTCCACATCTTCTGGGTCTGAAAGAAAAACCCAACCTTCTAAGAAGCTTCCCAGCAGGCCCACCCCCAGCCACCAAGTTAATGGCCAGTCTCGTTCCCAGCAAGAGGGAGCCTGGAACCCGGGCTCGGGAGGCACCTTCCAGGCCTGGCTCCCCTAACGCCACTGGTGTCACTAAGGGCCTTGTGGGTCCCCATTCTCTGGCTACCAAGTCCACAAGGGTGGGCTGAGCTGTCTCCCAAGGCCATCGGAGAATGGGGAAGAGGACAGCAAGTGATGAGGATCCCATCACCTCCCACTCCCCCCGCTCACACATCAGAGCCAGCACTTGCCAGGCAACCACAGGCCAACTGTTCAGCCCCCCAGCCCTGAACCAATAGCAAGTAAAGGCTGTTCGTCTCCCTCTTCGTCTTCTTTTATAAGTGAAAAAAGAAAAAAGGCTGAAGCCCAGAGAGGCGGCTAGTCCCAGGCCACACACACACCAGTAGTCCTCCCCCAGGGCCAGCTGCCTTCCCCGAGGCCCCAGGAGGAGACGGGGGAGGCTCAGTTCTGAGCCCCGTAGGGAGGGCGGGGGCCACTCACATTCAATGAGAAAGAGGAAGGTGAGGATGCCCATGGCAGCGGTGATGATGCCTGGCACCACAAAGGACAGGCCCCAGTGCTCATTCACCCAGACGCCAGCGATCAGGGAGCCCAGGATGTTGCCCACGGATGTGTGTGAGTTCCAGATGCCCATGATGAGCCCCCGCCTGGAGGGGAGGGGGTCAGGATCAGGAAAGACGGGAGAAGAATAAAAGAAAGTCAAAACAGAAGCACAGGGTTCATCACCCCCGCCCTGGCCCAAAGACAGCATGGGGGGAGGTGGGGAAGGGCTTGCCAGGTGCCAAGCAAGGGTCAGCCAAGGCCGGGGGTCCTGCTCCCCTCAGCCAGCGACTGCAGCCAGCTCGCACAGGCCTCCCAGATGGAGCTCCCCCCACCCCGAGCACTTCCGGCCCCCACTCCTCTCTTCCCTCTTGTCCTGGGGCTGCTACTCCAAATCTGGGTCCTCAAGCAAGGCCACCCCGCCTCCAGGGGACACAGGCAGTGTCTGGGGGTTTTTAACTGTCCCAGCTCCGGGTATGCTTCTGGCATCTAGCGGGTAGATGCTGCTACACATCCCATCCTGTGTAAGGTCGCCCCACGGCAAAGAGGGACCAGCCCCAAATGTCTAGTAGGGCTGAGCTGGAGAAACCCCGCTTGAAAGCAACTTTTTTTTTTGCACAAAAGCCAGTTCAAGTACAAAATAATAATAATGTTTTATAGGTTTCATTTTTGTCTTCATGCAAAATGGAAATTAGTCAATTATGAGGAAAAAGCGTAACAAGGGTGGCCTGTTTTGTGGACTAAAATCTTAACCATGAGAAAAATCAGTAATGCTTTTCAGCCACTAAAACATTGAACTAAATGTGAAAATCAGCAAGACAGACCTAAGTTTCTAACCTTTCACCCTGAAATTGTACTAGAGGCCATGAGAGACCTCCTCACTCCCCATAGCCCTCCCTGCCTACCTTCCGCTCCTCCTCCCTCCCCACACTCACTTTCCCTTCCCGAACCAGTTGCCAACGCAGGTCACCACAGAGGGCCAGCCGGTGGTCTGGACAAGTCCGTTACAGATCTGTGGGGAGACTGGAGATGAGTGGGACAGGCCTGGGCCATGCTGCAGACTCCCTCTGCCCCCTCCCGGGCTGCGGGGCCCTCCCCAGCCCCCACCAACCCCAACCAACCACAACACTATCGGCCTCCGCAACCTTCCCCACGATGGAGCAGAGGTCTGAGTGCAAGACGGGGGCTCGTACCTGGATAAGCACAAAGTACCAGAGCACATGGATGTTCCAGAAATATCCAAGGCCAAAGAGCGAGGTAAAAAGGCCGCTGAGCAACATTCCAGCTGAAAGGTAGTAACGGAGGGGGAGCCGCTCCCCAAAAATTCCGCTGGAGAAGAGAGTTGGATCTGTGGTTAATCACGAGCTGCCTCTGGCCCAGGTGACCACCGATGACTTCTGTGCTGCCTGCCACCTGCCAGAGAGGCCCTTGGGTCTCCACTCACTGGACTTTGCTGTCTCAGTTGCCACTGCTGAGCAAGCTCCTTGAAATGTTCTCCCCTTGGCCTTCTCACCCCTCTGCCCTTGGCTGACCACTCCTTCTCACAGATTTTCCCTGGGGCGCAGTCCCTTGTACAAAATTTATGGCTCCGACGACTGCCTACAAGTTACATGGCTCCAACTGGGTAACTTCCATTCTGACCTCTCCCACTGTGGGGTCACACCCAGATGCCTTCCGGACATCTTCACTTGGTTGCCTCCCCACACGTGCAACTCAGCACTCTACGACTGAACTCTCCCTCCTCCTTCCCCTCTCAGTCCCGTGGCCTGCGCCTCTCCTCCGAGTGAGTGTGGCACCGCCATCCTTGGTCACCAAGCCACCACACTGGTTTGGAACCAGCTATGAAGCAGGCCCCTCTGTTAGGCTGTGAGCCACTGGAAGGCAGTTTGGTTCCTGACACCAGACAGCAGGCTCACTCTGCCAAAGCCATGCTTGCTGGGCTAATTTAGGCCTAGGAGAGGCTGGCGGTTTTCCTAGCCATGTCCGTATCCACGGCTACCCACAAAGGATCCCAGTTCAGGAAAAAAAACCCATATTCCAGCCATCCCACTGCCACTGTCATCTACGAGAGTAACCTCAGAGGAGACGCTTTCCAGGAGAAGAAGCTACAGAAAACAGGAGTCTGCCAGGTGAAGGAGTCGGCTGGGTGACCACGGGTAGGGAAGGAGAATGGCCAGGCGCTGGTGGTGTGTGCCCATGTCTTTGCCTCCCGTCCACCTGGGGGAGCCCTCAGCTCTGGGGCCCCCCACTCTGGGACAGTCACAGGCTTGGCCCATCCCCTACCTGATGAACATGCCGATGGCGTAGGCCACAAGGAAGGCATTGTCCACGGCCCCCAGTAACTCCTTGTAGTTGTTCTTATCTGGAAACAGAGGGAAGAGACAGAGAGCTGGTGCTTGGGGGCCCTTACAGGAAACCCTTTTCGGCCCCAGACAACCTCTTCCTGCCACAAGAGCAGCGTGCCCCCTTCCTACCGAATGGAGCCCAGTTACACCACGTCGTGTCATTGAGACTGTGGCTGTCGTTGATGGGCTTGATCAGCTCCGAGCAGTTCTGGTGCAGACGGCTCTGAAGAGGGGAGAGGGTGCACAGGTTGGGGCTCACCTCCCGGCGTCAGAGCCCGCTCGGCGCAGAGCCGAGCAAACCATCTCCCTCCCCAAACACGCCAGGACTCTGGCCTGCACCATGGACAGCGTGAGCCTTCCTGTGGCAGCTCCTGCAGGAACCCGCCATAGGGACAAGGGGCCGCATCAGACCCTCCGTGAAGGGCGAGGTGAGTCTGAGCAGAGCCCATACAGCCTGGGGTCCCTGCCCTCCTGTTCCCGCCACAGCCCGTTAACACTGCTGTCCAAAGGAGCACCTATGGAAAGTTTTCTAAGAAGAACAACTACTAAAAGTGAGGGTTGGCCATGTGAAGGCCGTTCATCTCCGTGACTCCAGTTAGAGAATAAGTTCCAGATCATTCTACTAGAGTTGATTTCTGCGGGAGCTCAGCATCTCCTGCATTCTTTCTCACCGCCAGGCCAGCCTCACCTTGACAACACTGATGGGCTTCCTGGACATGTGATAACAGGTGTAGATGAAGAAGGTCAGCACCAGGATGAAGCCTCGGAACCTGCAGGGAGAGGCGGGCGTCTGGGTTAGTGGGAAGTCAGCTGCGGCTGGGAATTCAGGTGCAGTGTCCCTGGGGACCCGCTCTGGCTACCCCAGGGCCTCCACACTGCTGACGCTCTAGCTCAGGGTCCAACCGGACACAAGGTCCTTGGGACAGAGGCCAAGGGGAGGGTAGGAACAGATGCCCAGAGGCCAGCGCGCTCAGAGAGCCCAATCTCTCTGGTCCCAACTCCTGTGGCCTTCCAGCAGAGCTGGCCCAGCCCCCTAGACTACACAAATTATGCACCCCTCTCCCCCAGACCGCTCCTGTCATCTCCCATCACTTCTCTTGTCCTGTGACCTCACTAAGGTCAGGAAGCCCCTGTGTGTGTCTGGGTACACTGCTGAGACAGGGGAGCAACCAAGTAGAATTGTTTTTAAAAATACCAGCAATGGTTTTAATGGTGGGAGCAGGTGGGAGGCCGCCATGGCTTGTCTCTAAAGTGAGCTCACGACTCCTCTTAAACTTTGAACACAGCAGGCCTAGCAGTGGCTGCAGCCCAGGAAGAGCAGAGCCCAGACACCTCTGGAAATGTAGCAACAGTGGAGAAGCCGGGGCCAGAATCCACATCCTCTTCCCAGGCCCAGTCTGGTCCGTCCTACTGGACAGAAGGCTCATTCTTTCCATCTGTGGCTCACACATCACATGTGCTCTCTCCTTCCCCCACTTCTCATCCCAAGGACCGGCCTGGGATGGAAAGAACAGTTCAGCCAGGCACCCCTCAAGCGTGCACCCCACGCCCGGGCCCTGCCCTTCTTTGGGGGTCTGGCGGAAGGGCCTCGACATCCTCCTGAGTCAGTGTCTGCTTCCCCAGGAGAGCATCAGCCGACATGAGTCAGCAGCCAGGGGTTTCCTTCCGGTACATGGAAAATAGACCTCAGAAAGGGCCCACAACCCAGGAGGAAGAAGCAGGCATTAGGAAAGATCCAGAGCTTTGGGTTTTTTGAGATCTCATGGAGAAGAGTAGGAAAGAGGAGAAGGGGCCCTGGAGCTCTTTCCATTCTCAGCTCCATGAACCTAAGGGGTAGGATACTCTGCCCTCTTTAGGGAACTGCCTTCAAACCCCAGACTCACTGCCCCCCAATTTCAGAAGAGCCTGGATTTAGGTTGGGCTCTCAGGCCCCTTCTTGAGAACCTTCAGAGAACCCCGGACTTGAGCTTCCTACCCGTGTTCTCTGACTCCCCTCTCTCCACAACCTCATGGTGCATTTTCTCAAGAGAACCAAGTCACACACACTCACACACCCACCCATTACCAGGCTTAACATTTTCCAGCCGCCCTCCATGCTGTTGAGAACGAAGTTCCAACTATTTGGTCTGGATTATATGCTCCTCTACAGCAAACACCAGTTCCCAGGGACACATGGGTGGGTCACAGAGGTCCTCCAGGGACTTGAGTTCTCCAGGGAATGGGGGGTCACTCTGAGGGACTGTCACAGTGACCAACATCAGAAAGCTTAGTGGCAGCCATGTTTTCCAGGTCCCAGCCACAGGCATATGGCCCATGCCTCCTAGTTTGGGGACTTGTAGAATCTAACCTAACCCATTCTCTGAGGGGATTCGAAGAGGGTGTCCAGCTGGCCTTCCTCAAAGAGGAATGGCTGGGAGGAAACAATGGCCCCACAGATAGCCAGTCCAGTGCCCTGTCTGGGAAGCACTGGGGCGGGAAAAGCTAAGTTCTTTGCCGGCTGCCTCTGGTGTACTGGGGAACCGAAGACAAGTCCCTCCATCTTTTCCCCTCTGGTTTCCTCAGCAGTGGCACGTGGATGAGAGCACCAAGCCTGTCTAACTCAAAGACAGGTGAACACAATAGGACTCTCCCCCTAGTCCCCAGGTCCCTGTTGGACCATCTTTAAGTCCCCCCTTCCGGGGGGCTCAGCCGAACCAGCATGGCCACTAGCTACATGGATGCAGCCACTGACTGTGGAGACAAATCAGATTTCCTCTGCGTCTGACAGATCCCTGAGGCCCCGCTGAGGCTCCCAGCTCTGACTGTTCTCCCACGACGGGCCTAGCAGTGAGGAAGACCCTTGTCAGCCACAGAGCCTGGTGTTGCCCGGGAAGCCCTCCCGGGAGCTGGTCAGAGCCGACCAGGGGCCCAGAGGCCTAGCACAGTTCCCAGCTCCCCCTGCTCTTCCCCCACACACTCCCCTCCCCCACCCGGCTTCACCTCTGAGCCCGCAGTGGGATGGCGTGGAGATTCTGGCCTGCCTCGGCCTGCCCAGATGCTCCCTGGGGAGCAGATAAGGAGGGTCAGGAGTGGCCCACACTAGTATCCAGACCTGTGAGATTCCAGCCCTGCCCTCCTCCAGGAGCCCAGCCTGCCCTTTCCTTCTGCTCTGATCTCAACCTCCAGGAAAAAAGCTGACACCCAAGAAAGCAGAAGAGTCATGAATCTGGGGGGTTGTGGGGGGTGGGGCAGGAGGCCCTCAGGTGTGCCGTGATGTCAGGCCTGGCATCAATGCCTTCTGGGACTCCCTCCCTGGACCGCAGAGAGGCGTGGGGAGGAGCGCAGAGTCCCACGGCTAGCTGGGCAGAGTGCCCTTGGAGCCAGGCCTCCTGTCCGTCCAGTCCACTTCTCATTCCACTGTCCTTTTTCCATTCCATTCCACTTTGGCTGCTATTCCGAGAAAAAGGCCAAGGTGCCACCGTTCAAAGGGCCTGGGGTCATTGATCAGGCAGAGGGCTGAGCTAAGCCGACCAAAGGCTGCCAGATTCAGAGTCTCTCACAGGAAAGATAGCTGAGGGGCTCCGGGGCGTGCAGAACCACAGGTTTCACTTCCCTTCTCACCAGCCCTTTCTTTGCAACCAAGAGGCCCCAGGAAGGGAGCAGTGGGCCCTGGGGGGCTGTGAGGGGAGGGATGGCAGCCCAGGTCCCGGGCCAGGCTGGGCTGACAGGCCAGGCAGAGTGAGGCCCCCAGACGGTTCCAAGTGAGGCCACCTGCTCCATGACCGACCTCCTAAATCTTTGTTAGCAGGAAGTGGTACTTCTTAGAGTCCTAGCTTCCCCCAACCCAGCACTGGTTACTCAGTAACCAAATTAGATAGTGAGAGGAACTACCTATCTCTTAACTGTTAGTGGACAGTCCAGACTCGGCATGGGGACTTCTTCTGAGGTAAGGACAATCGATGTGTCCCAAAGCAGCAATGGATTAAAAACAAAAACCCCATAGGACCTGTTACCACCATCAGTACAACAACCCAGAACAACAAGAAACAGCAGAGGAGAGGGACGTTGGTCTTAGGAGGTGGTGGAAAAAAGCACCCTTTCCCCAGTAGCCACCCAGTCAATCCTAGTACCTGCTTCCTTGCTTTCCAATCACATTCCAATCACAAACCCCTACCCCGTAAGGCCAGTGAGGACTTCAGCTCCCTCATCAGCCACCCTCTACGTCCCCGTGCCTCAACCAGGGGCTGCTAGTAGACATCTAGGGCTGCTCAGGTAGCCAGGTGACAGGCTGGTTGTGGCTGCTGGTGAGCTTGGCACTTGCCCTGAGGAAATGGGACTTGGTGGCCTGTCTTTGGATGTCCCTGTTCTGGGACTCCACAGATCTGAAAAGGATAGAGGCTGAGCCCAGAGCCAGGCCTTCAGCATACAGGGTGGGACAGGGGCAGGTCATGGCTGGACGGGCCCAAAGCCCTCTGGGGGCAGAAAGTCAGCCAAAGGAATCCACTCCTTGTCACCCTTCCTCCAGCTGGGACTCAAGAGCTTGCTCAGAGACATCAGCTTGATTCAGAGCTTGGTCCCGAGATCCTTTCCAGCAAAGGGAGAGACTGGCAGGTGGCCACAAGAAGCCCAGGACTTCGCAGGATAAATGAGCAGATAAGATCATGATCACTTTTAGGAAAGCGGAAAGCTTGCACAAGGAGACTCAGTGAGGGAAGCCCGAGACCGTGAGCAGACAGACATGGCTTCAGCTCCAGCGTGATATGTTGTCTAGGCAGCTGGAAACATCTGGAAGAGCATGAGAGTTGGAAGGGTTTGGAAGAGGTGGTTGACATTATGCAAACAGCACAGATGGGAATGTCCTGGGGATGGCAGAGTCGGGGTCCTGCCTAGCAAGGCAAGATGATGGACTTCCCCTCGAGAGTCTCTAGCTGCCTAGAGTGTGAAATGTCAGGGGTCTGAGGCATGAGCCCGGGGCCAAGAGGAGAGCAGCTGCATTGCCCCCCCTACATACACACCAACTCAGGAACCCTCAGAGACTCTGCCCCCTGATGTCTGTCCTCCATCTTGTCGTTACTTTTGGATGGCTCCAGTCCGACCTCAGCACTCAGATGGCACAATTTGAATGGAAGAAATAAGGCCTTGACCAACCACATCAATCATGCAAGACCTGTCCACGGGCCCTAAGACAGATCCTCTTCCCAAAACCAAGGGAGGTATGAGTCTGCTCTGCAAGACGGGAAAGAGGAAACTGCAGGGGGGAAGAGGAAGCAGAAGGCAGCTGGGGAGAGGGCAGCGATCACGAGTGACAGGAGAGGGGAGACCACAGGGTCATGCTGTGTGACCAGCTCTGACCGTGTGGTGGGGGCAGGGATAATAGTGCGTCCCCCAGTTTCTCCATCTGGATCTCCAGTCCTTTCCAGAGCAGCCCCTCACGGCCACAGCTCATTTTAAGGCCCCCTTTCTGTGGCCCTTCTTCATAGTTACCAGGAAAGTGAGACAAGACAATGCTACTCAGGCAGCAACAGGGAACCTGATCGGGGTCCCGGCAGAGCAGGGAAAAGATCGCCAGACTTAGACCAAAAGAGACTGAGTCCTGCTGCTGACTGTGGCCTTGAACGAGTTGCTGAACTGTCTAAGCCTCAGTTTGAAATTCTTTAAGTAAGGTAATCGAGTCCTGCACGCAAGAGTGTCAGAGGATTGAGATGTGGGGGGTGAGGAAGCCTCCAGCATACAGCAGGGTCTGGGGATGTATTCGAAGGGCTTCTGTGTCCCCTGGGGGTGGGCGCTAGGA